ATATATATATATATGCATATATATATATATATATATATATGCATATATATATATATATATATATATATATATGCATATATATATATATATATATGCATATATATATGCATATATATATGGATAATTTTTCTAAAAAATATTCATATGTTGGGTATTTCCTAAAAGAAATTTCCTCTTTTGTTTTTTTTCAAATTGTACCTAAAATTTTAAAAATAACTAAAATATCATTAAAAAAATTTCTACCAATTTTTTTTATTATTACAGTATTTTCATTTGGCTCATTTATAGTATCTTATTAAGGTACTGAAAATGCTATAAACATTATTGAAAAATACTGCAAGTGGTATCATTTTATATTTCTTTGATTGTCATTATTTATAAATCATTACAATATAACATTTTTAGGCTTATAGTTAGTTTTTTTAAGGTTATGAGTTCATTTAGATTATTTATGATGTTTTCGAGTAATTTTTATAGTGTTTTTATTATGGTGGCTAAAATACTATAACAAGTTAAAAATACTACAAAATATTTTTAAGAAATAATTCATTTTTATTAAATTAAAGATACTGTTTGGAAAAAAAAAAACAAAAGGGAGGTACCGATTGAGAAAAATCTAAAATATAAATATTTCTTAAGAAAATCGTTATATATAGTATATGTATATATATAGTCACAGTGATCCTCAATCATGTGAAGGCAAATTTGAAATGAACCTTGCCTCTATCTTCTCCATCATGCTGACATAATTATCATGATAGCACAAAAGTTTAGTTGGCCACTAAATAAGTTGATTGACCTTCGCCCGCAGTAACTATTGACATTAGCCGAAGAATAAATGATTATGTCTGAGCTACAACCTACTCCGGTGTTGCAGATAGAAAATGAAGCTCCTACAAAGCTTCTTTTTTCCTATTAATTCGTATTACATGTCTTTGATCTCCCTATCTATCTAGTACTCGTGTAGAAGTTGCACGCCGTCGTCTTCCATTTACTTTGTGTTGCCAATAGCTATAGCTAGCAGCCTTTAATGACAGCCGGTGAAGATGAAGCTTTCTAGTTTACTTTGGTCGACAAAAAGCAAAAGCTTGTGTCCGGAGTTTATGAGAGGCAAAAAAGCATGATTCAAACGGTGACTATATTGTTCTATCTTTCTTATCATGATATAGCAACAAAAATGCACATTTTGTGGCAGACTTGAGTTTTTGATGACGAATAGTCTCCAATGAGTAGATATCAACATAACACCACATCGTCTTCTTCACTATGAGTTTTCTCGGATCAATAATAGCACATTCAGATTTATATCATTTCACTCTGTTACAGCAGGATATTAACTGACCGGTGCCGTATCTACATAATATTCTACAAATGAACATTAGCGAGGCAATTGGGCTCTATTGCAACTATTTCCGAAGACATTACCTATATGATGGTATATTATGAGGGTTTAAAACTTCATCCTATAGATCTTAAAACTGGTTTTTTTCTTTTTTCACATATGGTCAGTTCTAAAGACAGATTTTGATCTCAAGACCTTGAGGAGATCTGACAATGTTTTCACTCTGCGGGTTAGTTAGCACCTTTAAATTTTATCATATAAGACTTGAAACACTAATTTATTTGTAAATATAATATAAATGTCTGACGTATCATCAACAGATTAGTATTTTAATATAAAATTATTAGATGAGATTTTATTTTTGTTAGATATGATACATCACCATCCAACCAATATCTTAGATATTAACTTGTAAATACTTTATTATATTACCATAATATGGTAGGACTAACATCCTCATCATTCGTAAAAAAAAAAAAAAAGGGATGAAGATGGGGCACTACGTCAGACATGCCACCATGAATTTGAGACGACGACCGCCCCCCTCCCACGCCGTCCGGAGCCACATGAGCCAACATCATCATAACAAGGGCCGCTTCGGAAAGCTCGGGATGGTGCCGTGCGGTGCCGTTCCACACATATCGGGCGGCGGTCGTCTGAAGATACGAACTCGCCACCCAGAGAGCCAACGGGTGGGGTGGTAAGGGAACTTTTTATAAAAGTTCGACTGACTTGATCTTTGGAGGGGCCTAAATCGAGAAAACCCTCCCCTCCCGACCTAGGCCAGTGTGAAGGAACCCGGTGGCAATGAAGCGAGGCGTGCTCGTTGAAGAGGCGCATCCGGATAGACCCCAAGCTCAACTGGTTCCCGATGAAGACTCGATCACCGGGATGATCCAGAACATTAGCAATTGGACTAAGTTGTGCTGACACCTCGACCATGACGTAGAGGTTCACTATCATTTTGGCACTAGAAGAAGGGCTCGATATCGTAGGAACGCCCCGCGGCCAACACAGGGGCTCGCCCTGCCGAAGAACCACTAGTGACCCACCTCACATATGGGCCCGAGGGGCAGTCGCTCACCGCTCATGGAGATGAGAGCGTTGCGACATAGACGTCGGCTCGTTACTAGCGCCTGTTCAACGACCTTGGACTCTCCCCCACAGAAATGCCTCGGGATCTTCAATCGTCTTGCTTGAGGCATTCCTCGGCCTCGCTAAGCAGGTGCATGCCTTGGTGAGAATGATGCATACGGTCGCCCCACTCATCCCGCAGCTCGTACAGTTGGTGGCTCCTCCACCACTGATCTCACCCACATTCTTCTCGGAGCCACCCAATGTTCCCCCGACTGATCTGACAACATAAATCCCAAATCACTATGAGATTGGGGAACAGGTTGGTATTGGGGAGCAAATCGGTGGCCTGAGAATGGTGCTCGAGCGAAGTGCACCCATGCCCCGCCAGGTCATGCCACCATTTCCTAAGCCTGATTCCCTATCGTTGGACTCGGTCGATGACTCATTCAGGGCCCAACTCTTTATGGTGAATTGTCACCTATATGAGTTCCAACATGAATTCCACAAGTCATGGGGCGAGGCCAGGGAAATCCAAGATAAGCCCGTGCCACTCAACTTTCGACTTCCAGCACTAGAGACGTACGACGACAGTTCCGACCCAATGAAACACGTTGTCGCATTCCGAGCTCAGATGGCCCTTTACGACACTTTCGACGCCCTGATGTGTAAGGCATTCCCTACTACCTTCAGGAGACCAACACGGATGTGGTTCAGCCGACTGCAGCTAACCTCGATCTTGTCTTTTGACCAGCTTGCAAGAGAGTTCAAATAAAACTTCTTAGGCAACATGCAGCCCAAACCTTCCATGGCCATGCTCCTCACATTGTCCTAGAGCGACAGCGAATCACTTTCTCAATTTGTCGAGTGCTTTGCCACCAAAATCCAAGGAGTCCTGGATGCTCATCCTTCCCTAACATGCAGTCATTTCTGATGGGCCTACCACCCTCAAGATTTTTCTGGTCACTAATCGAGAGGCCACCCATAACTGTCCCCAAGATGTTCTAGCGTGCCAACTAGTACATCCTATCGAAACTTTATGGCAAGGAAACGTGAGGACAATAAGAGGCCATGGACGGAGCAAACCCGAGGAACAACCTCGGGGTCGCCTATAGCACAACCATGAAGAAGGCCCAATCGACCCAAGCTATCACTCCGGAGACCCCCTCCTCTGCCCTTGAACGCTTCTCGCACCGAAATCTTTCTCTAGATTATGGAGAAAGGACTCCTGGGGGAACCCAACCCATTAAAAGCTACTCACAAAGATCGGTCTAAATATTGTAGGTTTCACCGAGACTACAATCATGATACAGAGGACTATCGAGACCTCTAGAACCAGATCGAGGAGCTGATCCGAAGAGGACATCTCGGGCTCTACCTCAAAAAGCCAAGAGAAGCGTCTCCATACCCTAATGGCCCAATCGAGAAGCAAATTGATATCATCGTCAGCAGATCGGCTTCCGGAGGCAACAACATGACGGGGCAGAATGCCTACGCCCACAATACGGTAGAGAAATGCTTGAGAAAAGGACCAGGGCCCGAAATCACCTTCAGAGTTGAAGAAGCCAAGTTCCCAAATCATGGTGATGCCCTAGTGGTCTCGGTTCGTATCGCTAACGCACAGGTAAAGAGAGTGATGGTCGACATCGGAAACTCCACTGACGTGCTATACTTCGACATTTTTAAGAAGCTCGACCTAATAGAAGGAGACCTCGCCCTAATAGCATCATCACTCACAGGATTCATGAGGGATTCTATTTCTCCACTCGGTACCACTTCTCCCCCCCCCCCATTACCATTGGAGAGGAGCCTGCTAGTCATTGGTGCCTTGCAAGTCAATCACATGAGTGATGACACATGTGATGTTCATGGATCTGTGCAATGAGAATCGGATCGTGATGAGATCACGATAATGAAACTAATTTGCTTTTAAACACATATCCTAAATAATCCCAGTCATAGGTTACTCGAGAGGGACATCGAGATAACCAGACAGACTAGTGTGTTGTATACCCATCCATATAATGGATGCAGCTGGTCTCATAGCTACCCGTGTGGGGATACTAGAGATATAGTACATGTGCTCATTAGAGAATGAGTTCACTGATTGATCCGCTTACGGAATGCTGGATGGTTGATGATGTCTTATTGTCAGACAGTGATTTCGTAGTCCTAGTGATGTATATGGTCCTTAGACTTGAGACACTAAAGATGTCTTGTATGAGTACTCCACTCTTTGATACCAGACTTATAGGTTTGGAGGTTTCAGATCTAGCACAACCGATCATTGGGAGTGGTAGCCAACCTTACGAGAACTATTGAGTGTCGATAGAGGATCATTCACTCTCAGTGTAATGAGAGGAATATCTTATGTGTTCTTACTCAGACAAATCCCTGGCCAGGGTCATTTGGATTGAGAGAGAAAGAGATCTCCGGGAGAATCCGATTAGAGCAAGAATCGATTAAAAACCATATGGGTTTGACAGCATCATGCTCGGTATACGGTCTTTGGGACATTAGGTACATAAGTGACTATAGGTATATGGTAACTAAGGATAAACAAATCCAATGGATTGGATTCCCTTATATCGTCTATGGACTATGACATAGTGGCCTAGTACATCTGTAATCGATGAGTCGAGTGAATTATTATAGAGATAATAATTCACTGAGTCAGAAGGAGTTCTGACAAGTATGACTCACGGCCAGCTCGATATTGGGCCTAGAGGGTCACACATATATGGTAGGCATTGCGATGAGTAGAGGTTCGGATATGAGATATATGTCGGAGCCCCTATCTTATTGGATATCCATTAAGCCCCTGAATTATTGGATCCTATGGATGAGATCCAATAAGAACCAATAAGATTATTGAATAGAGATCCACTAATCTAAAAGGCTTTGGTAGTTGGATGGAGATCCAATACCCAATAGGGCTAGATCTATTAGGGTTATGTTGACAAGGGATCTCTATAAATCGGAAGGAATTAATGGTTCATAGGCTAGAGCTTCTTGGTTGCCTCTCCTATTATCCTCCCCTTCTCCTCCTTAGAGTAGGCTTGGAGTTTTGAGGAGCGTTGTTGCAGCCCTGCTATGTGGATCACTGTTAGAGAGGAGGGTGCTTGACCTCTTTCACCCTCTCCTAGAGATCTGTAGGGATTTAGGGATATATGATCTCCCTAGGTAATACAATCTTTACTATACGCAGTTTTCTGTTTTGCGGATTTTGCGCACCAATATTCGCGTGACAACGAACATATCTTTGGGAAACTAGGGATTTTGTTTTTAATGTTCTTTCGTTGCACATGTGATGTTGCCCCCAGATTTCCTAATAGAGCTGAGGACCAAGACGACAATGATCACCTTCATGGTGGTCGACCTACCTTCCGCGAACAATGTCATCCTCGGCCAACTAACTCTCAACAAGTTGAAAGTAGTTATCTCCACCTACCACTAGGCCATGAAGTTCCCGACTTCGATTGTGGTCGGGGTGGTTCGAAGCAATTCGAAAGAATCCAAACAATGCTACCTGATGGCGATCGCCATATCAAAGAAGTTGTGACCCTAACAACCTTCTCTAGATCCCTGGATGACCTCAAAACACCGACACACCCGAAACCAATGGAGTAATTGATCGAAGTCCTCCTAAGAAGAAGCTGACTCGACAAGGTCATTAAAGTCGAAACAACACTATCGGAAGCAAACCAAATCTAACTTATTGACTTTATGAAGGAAAACGCCGATGTGTTCGCATGGTCCCCAAAAGACATGCTCGGAATCGACCTAGAGGTCATGCAGCATCACCTCAACATCCACCCCGAGGCACGTCCTATGAAGTAAAGGCCAAGAAAATTTGCCCCAGACCCCTAGATTGACAAAAGGCAATCAGCGATGAGGTAGATCACTTAATTGGCACTGGATTCATAACCGAGGTAAAGAATCCTCAGTGGTTGTCGAATGTAGTCCTTGTTAAGAAGCATAATGGAAACTAGAGGATTGTGTCGATTACACTGATCTCAACTGGGCATGCCCCAAAGACTGCTACCCGCTCCCAAGGATAGACCAGCTCATAGACGCCACTGCGGGACATGAACTCCTCACATTCATGGATACATTCTTGGGCTATAACCAAATTCGAATGGCACCACAAGACCGAGAGCACATTGCTTTCATCACTGACAAAGAGGTATATTGCTACAAATTGATGCCTTTCAACCTGAATAACGTTGGAGCAACATATCAGAAATTGGACAATGAGACGTTCAAGCAACAACTCGGGAGAAATATGGAAGTCTACATTGATGACATGATTGTCAACAGCAGGTTGGCAAGCACACGTATGAATGACCTGGTCGAAACCTTTCAAACCCTCACGTGATTCAATATGCACCTAAACCCTTCGAAATGCACCTTCGGGGTCAGTTCCAGCAAATTCCTTGGGTTCGTCATCTACTAGAGGGGAATAAACTATCGAATCTCAGATTTTGATGATGAAATCAATTGATAAGTATTTATGATTTAATCTGTATTTTGAGTGATGCAGGATGCTTTGATCAAGGAGAGATAATTAAAGCAGGAAGAATCATATTGGGCCGGAGGAAAACGTGTCAGAAGATTGGACGTTGGGCCTAAGGATCGGTCGATGTATCGACAGAAGGCTTCGGGCCATGGATTCGGGCATCGGGCCAAGAAGAGCAGATATTATGCCAAGGATATCGAAGTTGCGGAGGTCAACTGACCGATTGGGTAATAGGCCACAAGAGAGGACGATGCGCCGAAGAATCGGACGAAGCGTCGATGGACCAATGACATGCCAGACAACATGATTCATGCTTAGTAATAATTGTCTAGATCGAAGTGTATTTTTGTGTGTGTAGGATTAACTACAATAGCAAGACATAAAGCAAAATGAAGTCCCGGAGTCAAGAACGCGATTTCGTTGGGAGTTCGAGAGTTCATCGAAAGTCTAGACGTTCGTTAGAAGTTCTGCCGGAACCAACCAAGAAGTCCAGGAGCTTGCTAAAGAAGCTCATCGGAACTCGCCAAGAAGATCATCGTGAAGTCCAGGAGCTTGCCGGGAGTCCACCGGAATATTATCGAGAGATCGTTGGAAGTTCGTCGGAAGCTCGCCGAAAGAAACCGGACTTATCTTATTTAGATAATGTCTTAGGAATTGTAGTTAGCACATAATTGGAGTTGAGATTGGGAGGTAATCCTATCAACTATGTTAGGGGCCAATTGGGCTCGAAGTTGGGCTGGTTTGGGTCAGATTCAAGGCCCAACCAGGGTGCTGAAACCCTGGCCGGCGGTGGCACCGCCTGGGGAACAGCACCCCAGGAAATTTGGGTGATGGTATCGCCCAACTGCAGATCCTATGGCGGTAGTACTGCCTAGGAACAGCGGTGGTACCGCCTGTACCCAAGAAACCCGACATGAGATGTTTTTAGGCTCAAAGTTTGAATCAACTTGAGGCCTATAAATATCCCTCTCATCCCTAGTTAAGAAACACAAGCATAGAGAATTTAAAGAGGAAAAAATGCTATTGTAATCTCTTGTGAGAATCCTCCTCTTCTAGTCTAAGTGTTAGAATAGTTTGAAAGATGAGTGAGTGCTTGTAAGGGTTGTCTCCTAAACCCGGTAAAAAGAGAAGAGGGGTATAAGAAGGAGGTTGATCTTCACCTATTAAAGGAAGATCGATAGTGGATGCCGGTGGCCTTGACGGAAGAGGAATCAAAGGAGTAGATGTAGGTCACGACGACCGAACCACTATAAATC